GGCGCGGCCTCGCCTGCCAAGCCCAGAACTGGGACAAGGGCTCTTTTCAGAGGAAACTTTCGGCTCCACGCTGCCCTGGCCTTTGTAGGAACTTGAAACTTCCCCGAAACTGCAGATTTAAAGCAGTTTCTGAAATCGCTCCTGAAAATTCCTCAAGTGTTTTGGATGTGGTGTAGGCCAACTTTCCTTACAGGAATTGGAAATTTCCTTAAAGGTGTTTCCATGGCAGAAACAGTGAAGAGGCGACACTCGTAGCATTCAGCCCATTCACGAGTGCAGTACGGCAAGCGCTGCCTTAACCAGCAGAAAGCGTCTTCGTCATATTTACAGCGACAGACAATATATTTCCACATTTCTTTTCGAGTACGTACATTGTGTAAGTGGTACATTGTGGAACTTCTGAAAATTGAATAGCTGAAATTTGTATAGCTTTTTAATCCGTGACTTCACAATTTTAATTTATGCTTATTGTGTTTCTGTGTAAGTTTTCCAAGAGAAGAGGAAGAGAAGGAGGAGTAAAACAGGAATCCCCTGCGAGTCTAGACACGTAGCTCACGCATAGACTTGGCTCGCAGACCTTTTCCATTTAAATTATTGAAGCAACAGTTGACATGTTGTCATCTGTGTAGACAAGGCAGAGAAGATACTTCAAGCATCTGATGGAAGCTGACAGTGTAGCGAGGGTTGGATTTTTTAGGAAGGGAGTGTGCTTTAGTGGCCTCTTTCCTCCCATCTTGTTTCAGTCGGCTTTGTCTCGGCTCGCTCTCTTCTCTGTCTTCAGCTCTTTCCATTCACTTCACCAAGGTAATCAAAGGCTTCAAATCAAGCATCTTCAGGACTGCTGGAGTCCATGTGCTTGATTTGTCCTGATTTGTTTACTAGTCCTTGGCCTTCAGAAGGATCATCCTAGTAGGAGAACGTAAGCACGGGGACTTAACGTGGATTTGAGTCTGAATACGTGCCTCGGTCGCCACACCTTGGCTTTCTAACGCGCAGCTCCTCGTCCGGCTGGCGCAATGTCCCATCCCTATTCCAAGAAGCTCTGCCCAAGACCCGAGTCCTCTCCGGCTTGGGCAGTTTGTTGTCCAGTCTCTCTGTCACTGCCTTGCCTGGATGCGTTACTTGATCCGTGTCAGGAGGGATGGAACTAGATGATCTTTCAAGGTCCCTTCTGAGCCAAGCCATCCTGTGATCCTATCCTCGCTCTTCCCTCGGCAGACAGAATTTTTATGGAATCTTGCCAACGTCACGTTTCCCCGGACATGGAGAACAGGGGAGCTCCAGCCCTGGTGGGTCTTCATCAAGGCGCTTCCAGGGCTTAGCGTTGCCTCCACGGTCCGGTTCCCGTCCCTCTGTTTCCTGTTGCGTTACCTTTTGGGGTTTTTTATTTTTATTTTGCCAGCAGCCCTGTGCTGTTTGCTCAGTGAGTCATCCGTCTGAGTTTCTGCTCTTTTTCCTGGTCTCTCAGCTGTCATTTCATTAAGTCCAAGTCCTTTTTCTTTTGGTCATTTTTGTGTAACTAATGTAGAAGAACTTTAATAATGACACAATTCATAGATGTATAATGTCTTAAAGGTTCGTATCAATGTTACAGTTCCTAAGGAAGGCCTGAAGAGTCAATCTTTGTTTGAAGAAATCCGTATGACGTACATTAAAGAGCTGGGAAAGGCCATAGTGAAAAGAGAAGGGAACTCAAGCCAGAACTGGCAGCGATTTTATCAACTGACTAAACTGTTGGACTCTATGCATGAGGTAAGTTCTTCAGCGAATGCTGTAGACATTCCGGATAAATAAGTTTGGGAATATGACAGTAATCTCTCTCCTGGTTTTTTTATTTAAAGGGATTGGGGGCGGGGGGGGTGGCAGTCATGCTCCCCTACTGTCTAACTAAAGGCTAATTGAAAGAGGTGAACATGGTGCTTTCAGACTGCTTTTGCAGTGGATTCCACATCAAGTAATTTATAATTAATGTAATTTTAAGTCTCTCCAGTTTTTAAAAATGGTGCTTTGAAATGGAGGAACTGTGAATGATTTTGCAGTAGTAGCAAGAGATGTGAAGTTTAAAAACGGTATTATCTCAGGGACAAACTATTCAAGAACCTATAGAATTGTTTGAAATTGCATTAAAATAATGCATCAGTGCTATTTTTAGTATTAATAGTGGTCTAATTTTGCAAGGAATCTCAGAATTCAGGCTGTCTCCTTTTGCTGGATAAGGCAAGGGAAACTTTTTTTTTTTTTTTCTTGTCAGTGTACCAAGCACCTGGAAAGGTCTTATTAAGCTTATCCGTATGAATGTTATTTATATGCTAGAATGGGAATCGATACAAACTCTCCTCAGTATTTGTAAAGACCTTGCACGATCTGTTCGCTTGTTTTACATTAGAATGCCATTTAGGAGACCGACTGATCCAGAGGGGGTAACTGCACGTCTGCCCGCGTCGCAAGTATTCCCCGAGCGGGCGCGGGGCGTGCTTAGGGTAGCTGGCAAACCAGGCGCTGCAAGAAGTTACGAAGGAGGAAAGATGCAGGTTAATAGTTCCTCTGTGTGTATTCGTGTGAAAGTAATTCTTCGCTTTATCACTTGTAGGTGGTTGAAAATCTTCTGAGCTTTTGCTTCCAGACATTTTTGGATAAATCCATGAGTATTGAGTTCCCAGAAATGTTGGCAGAAATCATCAGCAATCAGATGCCAAAATATTCAAATGGAAATATCAAGAAGCTCTTATTTCATCAAAAGTGACTGCCTTAATACAAAAGGGTTGCCTTAAGAAAACGTCAAATGATAGCTTTTTTTTTCGTAAAGAAAAAACCTACCAGACTTGTTAATTTTGTCCTTGCAGCGGTGTTTCTTTTGTAATTATGCACTACATGTGGTTTACAGAGGGCCAAGATTTAGGCTATAGAAGCAGCGGATTTCTCACATTTGGTAAAAAACTGGGGAGAAAGGAAAGGAAAATAAACATTATTTGTCAGAAATTACGTATCTCCCCTCGTGCAACACCCATGGATGCATCAAGACCACCGGTGACAAGATCTGAGGCTGTGTTACGAACATTCTGCTAATTAATTTCTGCAGTTGGCTGGAGACAATTTTCTAGGCTTTTTTTTTTTTTTTTAAAGTGTTTTGGATTTTTTTTTTTTTTTTTTTTTTTAAAGTTAAGGTAGCGTTTTGGTTTATGCATGTAACCTGAAGAAAGTTTACAAGTGTATATCAGAAAAGGGAAGTTGTGCCTTTTATAGCTATTACTGTCTGGTTTTAGCAATTTCCTTTAACTTTATATACCGTGAACTAGGCTTGTTCATTTTTTTCTTACATAATTTTTTTGTAATACTTCAAGTTGCCTATTGTACAGCTGGTTTTTTAAGGTGGGGCAGCTCGTAGCTTTCCTAAATGACCTCTAGACATTAATCCTTGAGTATATTCATGTGAAAATGGGTTGGGCTTTTCTAACCTAATAGCTTTCAACTGTCAAAGCGACCATAAAAATTTGGCATTTTTTAAGGGCCAGGGTGGGTGGGAGAACACTCTCAAATCTAATTTAAATAGATGCGACTGAAACAAATACTTTTGGTATATGTGCAAAAGCGTTGGATATGCAGATTCATAGAAAATTAACCCAGTCCTAACTGGATGTAAATGAGCAGGTTATTTTATATATTGAAAAAAAAAAAAAAGCCTGATTTTTGCATATAATGCAACAGCCATAACTATAAGAGTCATGGGCTGCATTGATGCCAAGAAGATCAGTCCTGACTGCCCATCAGGAAATTTTCAGGTAAATATGCATAGCTTAAGAAAAGTTTACTTCTGTGTGGAGAAACTCACATTTTCTATACACTTAAATCTATCATCATACGAGTATCTATGGAAAAATACCATTGACTTAAGAGGCAGACATCTAATTACGCCCAGTGGTATGGTTTTGTTTTGTTTTCTTGTACCGATTCTAGAAATCTTTCCTTCGGTGAGATGTTTACCGTCATGCAGGCAGTAAAGGCGAGCAGCCGCGCGGGCTGACCGTAGCTCTGGATACACGGGCTCCAAACGCGCGTGGTTAGAGACCCATTTTCACATCTCCACCCGTCACCGAGTGGTTCATCCTCTTTCCTGGCGAGCAGGAAAGCGCCGCTACTGATTTCGTGGTCTTCGAGTCGTATGTCGAACTTTCTGTCTTTGTAAGGCTGCGTCCCTTCATATCGGATTACTAGCGTGCCATAAAATTACCATAGGTCTTGTGAATTTCTCCTTGTTGCCATTGATAACTATATTTTAAAACGTTTAGAAGCTGTAGTAGCCTTTTCTACGTGCACCTTAACAATTTTCTGTATCTCAAAATTTAAATACTTACTAAGCCACTCTAAAATTTGATTTTTACGCAAAGTGGCCAGATTATTTGTGTAATAGAAATGAGAAAGATCATCAGATAAAATACAAAACCTAATATATTTTTATATTTAGTTATAGTTTCAAATATGTATAATCGGTATATTCGCTGATCTGAGAAAAGAAGGGAAGGGCTACTGCAGCTTTAAAAGCAATTTAATAAATGACTGTAAAATAGCTTGTATAGTGTATAATAAGGATGATTTTTAGATGACAGATTGCTTTATCATGAAACATGTAATTATATTTTTTGTAGGGGTCACAAGTATGCTGAATGGTAACCCGTACAAGTTGTGGTTTGTCTGGAGGTAGTACTGAAGGCATCGGTGTTTAGTATCCAAAGAAGTACTCTGTTTAGAAAGGAAAACCTGTGTTCAGTGGATGTTTTGGGGGTTGATTTTATGTTTATCAAATCACTGTGTAAAAAAAAAAAAAAAAAACCAACAAAAACTCAAGTCGGAGCTTGGATGGAATACTCCTATCTGTATGGTTGGTTACCATTCACGATTCACCGCTAAATCGGACCTCCGCTGCAAAAAATGTAAGCCGGAAAGATGCGTGTGTGCACGTGCGTACACATACACCTCTGAACATACGGGGTTAATTTCATATACAGCCTCACGTACCACAGCAAAAACAGCTTGAAAAATTTGGCAATAATACGCATACAGGTACCAGCAATATGTAAATATAGAGCATAGGTTGTTCACAATACACTAGTACATTTCTATTGTTCAGCAAAAGTTTGTTTCCAAGTGAAATAGGAAACTAAATTTTCATCCTTTCTTAAATCTCTTTTTGAATGTTATATCTATTAAAAAAAGATACTATATTCAGTACTTTGGAGTAAAACATCATCTTTAATAAAAAAAAAAAGTACTCATTCTCTTCTCTTTGAATGATCTGTAAAGAATATGTACATTTTGTAGCAGTTAAGGTAAAGTTCAGTATTTTAATTACGACTTCAACCCGGTGAAAATATTCACGCGACCCATTCGAGATACAGATAGGAGTTTCATACCGTTCGGTTTCAGGTGGGCTCTTCGGTGAAAAGGAAAACTGTTCGTTCTTTAGAGAATGCTTTTAAAAATCGCATCCCCAGATACCTCAGTCTGAGCCTGCGTGAGAGGGCGAGTGTGTGCGTGGGTGCGTGCACGCGTGCGGACGCTCGTGCGGTGGTGTACGCAAAGATGCAGAACTCTTTTTTGCCAGCAGAGGCGTAACTACAGTGAACACGAACAAATTATCACCTTGAGAGGACCGATAACATAGGAGAAGAGAGGCTCTCTACCCCCTTTTCGTCTATATGCCTGTATATTCATTTTTAGTTTATGGATTTAAGGGAAAAAAAAAAAAGGAAACTGTGACGTTAGAAGAAAGCAATCGTCCTGTACGTGCTGTTAAGTTTTAAACTTCACGATGAAAAATACGTAGTGCTTTAGTGAGCAGTGAGAAGTCCTTGTTCTGTGTATCCGTAGTCCGTGTAGCAGTGGGTAGTATCTGCACTCTGGATAAAGCAGGGAGAATTCTGACTTTCGTCTCTTCAGTGCCTTATCACAAAGTGCATGCATCCGACCGAGGGACGGCCGCCGCCGGCAGCTCAGGACGCACGCCTGCTGCGTGCTGGAACTTGCACACGACGAACGCTGGGAACGGCCTTACGTGGGAGAAGCCGGGGAGCGGGGATGGAGAGGGAGCTGCTGTCGGCCCCGCGCACGGCCCCGGCACGGCGACGGCGACGGACGGCGAGGTGTCGCGGGGAGCTGCGGAGGGAGGGAGGGGGCTGGGCGCCGATGAAGCCGCAGAACGACCTCGCCCTTCCACGGAAAAAGGGAGAAAACGGGAGGAAGTGCCTGGATGGACGTCGGCTACGTCCCGTTTCCCGTCGTGGAGCTTCAGCAAGTGAGGACTTCAGGGTCGCACCCCCGAGCGAGATCCTAGCGCGCCGTAGCTGTCCTGCAGCGGCTGCGCTCCCTCCTAGCCCAGCCTGCGACCGGGTCTTGCTGAGCCATCCATGTTACATAGGAACCAAATTTTCAGGAAGGGATTAGGGCCTCTCTGAACCAGCGAGAGGCACTCGTTTTCTGATGAAAGGCTGTGTGTATGAAAATATCCCCCACCTCCAAACTAACTCGCGTAACAGAATAGAGTCAGCAATGTGTCATTATTCTATTTTGTATATTAAACGAAAGATATATACTGGGGACAAATCCTATATCATACCGGTGTATGGCATTATTAAAAAAAAAAAAAAAAATCATTATTTTTATCACAGTAATTTTAAACAGCATAAAAACAAAAATTAAACCAGTGACTCCTGTTTAAAAATAAAAGTTGTAGTTTTTTATTCATGCTGAATAATTCTGTAGTAACAAGTCTGTAGTTTTCACCTACTCAGTGAAATGTTGGACTGTAAAAGCTTGTGTGGAATTGTTGAACATTTATTTTTTCATTTAAATTTGCTGTTCTGGTAATACAAAGCCACACATCTGTACAGAAGTTGCAGTAAATGTGAGCCATTTACAGCAATGCCGAATAATGGACAGAAACCATATAATAAAATTCTGCTTTTTTCATTAAATGGCTCCAAAATGCTTTTATAGAGTTTTTGCTGTGTACTCGGAAAGGATCGGTTCTGGCAGCTGAGTCAGTTCATCTATGTTGTTTTCATTATTCACCTCATACGCAAAAATTATTTATACCGAAGCTAATTGCTGCTGCAGTTAAGTTCTAGAGTGGGAGAATTTCTGATAATTAAGTTCAGATTAACAGTTCAATTGAAAACCATTACTTGCATTTCCCGAACCTTGCCGGCTTTGCCATTGCATTCGTCACGTCCATTTTCCGGAGGGGAATCTGTCCCACGGCTTTCTAATCGAATCAAAAGCCGGTCTGCGCATCCGAGCAAATTGGCTTGCGCGGGTGTCGGATAGATAGGCGTGAAGCTGTCAGGACAATTTAAGGAAAAACAGCACAAAGTGTATTTAGTTAAAAAAAAAAGAATTGATTTAAAATTCACTTGCTTATCGCAGTGTTTCTTAACCGTCTGATACTTGGCAGAAGTGGTTAAAGCTCCTCACCAAGGCGCGTACCG